GGGGAATTAATAATATGGGTGAATGTAGTAAACATGTTGTTTCATGTGAAACCTTCATAAGAGTGTATATCAATAATACCTTAATAAAAAAAATTTTTAAATATAGGAATATTTTGTTGGTTGAATTATCTAACCTCACTAAACCTCAGTTGTGTCTGCACATTAGTAGGTGCTTAATGAAGAGCTGCTGAATGGGTGACTGAATGAATGGACAGGTATGTGCATGAGGGTCAGTGAACTCTTGACATCATAATAAAAAGAAAAAGTACAAACCAAATTAACAAAGAAAATAATGGAAATGTGAGCTGTCATTTGGAAAGTGTACCTCAATGTGGTACAAAAAATCAATTTTTTAATAGAAATTTGGAAAGAAAAATTGTATTCTCTTTCCACTTGAGGTATATATATACACACAAACATGTACATATGTGTATATACACCTGTGTGCATATGTGTACACACATTTATGAATTAGGTACAAAGGGAGGGGTTATAATCTATGTGTGTATGTATATATGTGTGTATATATGTTACATAATACATGCTACTGTTGTGTATGGATTATTATTTTTGTATATATTTAGCCAAAAATCTTACCTTAAATTTATAACAAAAACTAAGAGCCTCAACAAATTATTTTTCAAAATTATACAGGATATTTCTATCTTGTTAAAGATTCTAGAAATATTTGTCCATCTTTACTATTTAGGGCTTGCTATTTATATCATCTAGAGCTGTTATTTGCAGGTAAAAATTACATTAGGCCTCTGTCTCCTAGGACTTATATGAAATTGGTGATTTAACAAAAAGCGACAGAAAGGGTTTCTTTCTGCTTTTGTAGTGTTCTGTGTTTTTTAAGTTTATGGCAATAATAACTTTTTCCTGCTACTCTATGTTTTCTTTCATTTTTTCTAAGATTCAATGAGGCAAATGGACTGATAGTTGGGTTTCTGTTTGTACATTGACTTTTTTTTTCCTTTTTTATAGCAAATAAAATCTTAGCCATTTCTAATATAAATTTTGGGTACATTATCAAAGATTTCACTGTCTGAATATCCATGCTGCCATGATTTTAGGTGTGGCTTTAAATACTTATCTTTGGAATTCTGAGTAGCTGGAAGACCGCTGTGCTGTTATCCATTCTGACTGTTCTCCTTGGTTGAAAGAGGGTTTTGTTAGCTGCAGTGGATACAGTATCATGGATTAAGCATTCCTCTTTCCCCACTATTTCCACCACATATTACCAAAAAAATAGCTATCAAAATTGGAGAATTTATTTGATAAATATGATACTTGTAAGAATGGTAATATTGCTTCTCCTTCAAATATAGTACAAGAGGTTTTATTTTGGTAAAAGTTTGCAGATTTTTTAAATGAATGCTTTTTGAATAACAGACATGATAGAAACTATGTCATATCTGGACTCTTCATAGACTCTAACATAGACTATAACTTCAAAAATAACTTAAGGAATAATGACATTATAATAATAATGACTAATATAGATCAACACTGTATTTCACTATACTGACATCATTTTCCTTATTTTCCATACATACCTTCTAAGATAGGTACCTTCTATATTTTTAAACCCATTCTGTAGATTAACAAACTGAGATACATGGAAGTTAAGTCAGGTAGAAGTAGTTAGTAGTTTTCAACTCTATCAGACTCACTGACCCCTTCTTGTCTGTCAATATAATTTCAAAAAACATAATGTTCCAACTTCAGCATAAAGGAGAAATAAAAGCATTATAATATGTATTTAAATGTGTAAGAGTCAGACACAACTATCCTAGGACACATAATTCAGTAGACACATACTTTCATCTGTTGATAGAATTAGCATGTATGTGGCCATCTCAACTGCAGACTGATACAAATACTTCAATTTAAATGCTTTGAATGATTTTGATATTGGCGATGTCATTTCTCAAAATGGAAAACAATCTTTGTTAAAGTTCTGAACAGCAACAAGATCTTTGATCAGTGATTTACATACTAGTTGTTTTCCAGTGAATTTCAGTATCTAATAGAACATGCAAAAGTGTTGGTGCTTTTATGTAAACGAGTTAAGTCCCAAGCTGAGGTGCTTATTTTTCAGTGGGTTTTGCGTCTTCATTTGCAGACTGTCCTGTAGATGGTAGGGTGTCTTAATCTCTGGCCTAGTCCGCTGAATGCACATAGTGCCCCTGCTGTTTGCAACAATCAAAAATACCAAAATGCTCTGTGTTTAAAGTTCTTGCAGTATCAAATAGTGGGGCTATAATTTGCACATTGGCATGTCAAACTCCAAGTTTTTCTTAAGTGTGCTATATTATCTTGCCTTGTAGGTTAATGGAAGAAACAGTCAGGAGCTCTTAAGTAATTAGTGTACCATAAGCCTATTTCTCAATCTGGTAAAGACTACAGACCCTTTTTCAAAATTATGTTTTAAATGCCGAAAATAAAAAATGTAAAAATGAAAAGAAAACCAACTATTTTCAAAAATAGTTGTAGTATAGTAATGATAGTTATAAATAATGTTTCCAGTTTCATAACACTTTTATCTTATCTTTGGAATTCTGAGTAGCTGGAAGACCGCTGTGCTGTTATCCATTCTGACTGTTCTCCTTGGTTGAAAGAGGGTTTTGTTAGCTGCAGTGGATACAGTATCATGGATTAAGCATTCCTCTTTCCCCACTATTTCCACCACATATTACCAAAAAAATAGCTATCAAAATTGGAGAATTTATTTGATAAATATGATACTTGTAAGAATGGTAATATTGCTTCTCCTTCAAATATAGTACAAGAGGTTTTATTTTGGTAAAAGTTTGCAGATTTTTTAAATGAATGCTTTTTGAATAACAGACATGATAGAAACTATGTCATATCTGGACTCTTCATAGACTCTAACATAGACTATAACTTCAAAAATAACTTAAGGAATAATGACATTATAATAATAATGACTAATATAGATCAACACTGTATTTCACTATACTGACATCATTTTCCTTATTTTCCATACATACCTTCTAAGATAGGTACCTTCTATATTTTTAAACCCATTCTGTAGATTAACAAACTGAGATACATGGAAGTTAAGTCAGGTAGAAGTAGTTAGTAGTTTTCAACTCTATCAGACTCACTGACCCCTTCTTGTCTGTCAATATAATTTCAAAAAACATAATGTTCCAACTTCAGCATAAAGGAGAAATAAAAGCATTATAATATGTATTTAAATGTGTAAGAGTCAGACACAACTATCCTAGGACACATAATTCAGTAGACACATACTTTCATCTGTTGATAGAATTAGCATGTATGTGGCCATCTCAACTGCAGACTGATACAAATACTTCAATTTAAATGCTTTGAATGATTTTGATATTGGCGATGTCATTTCTCAAAATGGAAAACAATCTTTGTTAAAGTTCTGAACAGCAACAAGATCTTTGATCAGTGATTTACATACTAGTTGTTTTCCAGTGAATTTCAGTATCTAATAGAACATGCAAAAGTGTTGGTGCTTTTATGTAAACGAGTTAAGTCCCAAGCTGAGGTGCTTATTTTTCAGTGGGTTTTGCGTCTTCATTTGCAGACTGTCCTGTAGATGGTAGGGTGTCTTAATCTCTGGCCTAGTCCGCTGAATGCACATAGTGCCCCTGCTGTTTGCAACAATCAAAAATACCAAAATGCTCTGTGTTTAAAGTTCTTGCAGTATCAAATAGTGGGGCTATAATTTGCACATTGGCATGTCAAACTCCAAGTTTTTCTTAAGTGTGCTATATTATCTTGCCTTGTAGGTTAATGGAAGAAACAGTCAGGAGCTCTTAAGTAATTAGTGTACCATAAGCCTATTTCTCAATCTGGTAAAGACTACAGACCCTTTTTCAAAATTATGTTTTAAATGCCGAAAATAAAAAATGTAAAAATGAAAAGAAAACCAACTATTTTCAAAAATAGTTGTAGTATAGTAATGATAGTTATAAATAATGTTTCCAGTTTCATAACACTTTTAATGATATATGTATATATCTGCAATTTTATTGGACACAAAATCTTCCAGGTACTGAATAATACTGCTGTGTTTTGTTGCCTATGTTTATGAATAGGAGGAAAGTAAAGATGAAGATTTTTCATTTGTTTGTTTGTTTTTATTTAATTCAAGTTCAAGGATGCTCAGAACTCATCCACTGATCCCAGGTTGAGGACCCCTGTTCTACACTGAATGCATGTGCAGAGTAAATTGGGAGCTCAGGGTTAATCATGCTCATGACTGATTCAAGAGCTGTAAAAAAAAAGCTTGCAGAGATCAGGTGACTGGCTGGTTCTTAAAGAATGATTAGTCAGTAGGCTGGGAAGCATAGGGAAGAGTGTGTACAAAAGCTATCAGGTCAGAAAAGACCACATAACATGTGATGGCAATACTAAGTAGTTGGCTTCAACAAGTAGGTAGAAGGAACCTTGAAATGAAGGATTGATCAAAATGTGCAATTTGTCCTTAAAAACAGAGGGATTCTGCTCTAATTCTTCATTTAAAAATATCTTATGCTTACTAGGATTTTTAGTTTATCAAGTACTGGCACACAGTATATTGTCATTTTATACTCTGTGATATCAACCTTCTCAATACTCATTACAATAAAATTAGCTTTATATTTATGGTATGGAATTTTCTGAGCATACATAAGTTGTTCTAGATAACCACTGCAAAAGTCATAGAGAAATGCCCCCAAACAAAGATTTCAACCCATATTTGATTATATCTGATTCAGTTAAAGGAAATAGGATGGAATAGGGTATGGTTTCTCCTTATTAACGTTATTTAACTAATGCAACATTTCTTTAAGAAATACAGGCAACATCCTATGCATGGAATGGGTCAGTGGGAAATTTCATTTATGTATATATAATGCCTTTCTGGATGAGTTAGATTTAAAGTAAGTTGCTACCATCAAATGCCATTTAGAGCAGTTATCAGTGTTTGTTAACTTATTCACACTTATTTTCAGTGAGTGCCATAACTCCACAGATCGAATCAAAGTCAGAGTGTGGGATGAAGATGATGACATTAAATCCAGAGTCAAGCAACATTTCAAAAAGGAGTCAGATGACTTTCTGGGGCAAACAATTGTAGAAGTGAGGACCCTGAGTGGGGAAATGGATGTCTGGTACAACTTAGGTGAGTATTTTCATATCTACTTGAAGAAAAGTTAAATAAAATTCCAGTATATCTGTGACATATTATATTCTCATTTAAGTAAAAATAATTAATGTCTTTCTAGAATATTTCATGAGGAGCTAACAGTGATAATTACTTATTCAAACTCATTATTATTGAAAGATATTGGTAAATTTGAGAGGAAAGTGAAAAGCCTTTCAAAGAATCAACTGGGTATCTTTTAGGAGAAAAAGATCCCATTCTTAATTTTTAATTCATAAAATACAGCTTCAAACACCTTATTAATTGTATAGGAAACAAATAATCAACCTGTAACTTAATACTGTTCGACTTATTTTTTTTTGGTTCCTTACTGAAATTTTGACAATAAAATAAAAGTGTGTTTTAGCTATATTTCAAAAGATGGCATAAAAGTAGGCTTCAGTAGACGAAGCCAAGTACACATGTGGACTTATGCTTACTCCACGATGATGATATTGAGAATATCTTTCACTGGCATAATTTTTTAAATGAAATTTTATTATGGAATCAAGAATTAAGTTTTTTAATTAGACTTTTACTGTAATTAAATAATAACCCAGAATCTTCAGTGCTGATTTAGTAGTAAAAATAGATGGATCACCTCAGTGTCTATAAAGTATATGATCCAAAATTTCTTCATTATATCATCTGAAAAGTTTAATTAAATTTTTAAGAGCTGGTTGTGAATCAGAGAAGGGTTTACACCAGGCTTACAAAGAGTTTCCATTTAGGATATCAATATATTTTAGCAAATTAAAGAGTGCTTCTGGCTTAAAAAAAAATGCTTCAAGTAATACAACCTTTGACAAAGTAGAGGATGAAGTCACATTAATTATAGAATTAATTAAACTCTAAATTTTATAATAAATAAGGAAGATATGTAACTCATTTGGATACAAATGATTCAAGCTAGACTAAGAACTCAATATGAAAAAAATATTTTAAATAAATCTTCCTTAAAGAAAATTAATGCTTCTACATTATTGGTGTACAATTTTTACCTCCATTATAATGATCATCCTCCCGTATCTTGTTTATACTATTAAATAACCTTAAATATGAAAACAGGGATGTTAAGCAAAGGTAAACTTCCAGCCATTAACTCTGCAGTTCTTACAGACTGCGTTTTAATTAAAGGCAGTTAGGATTCGAAAGAGAAATTCCTCAAATTGTTCTTTTGACAAAATGTGCATGGGTAAATTCAGTTTTGGCAAGGAAGTTGAATGTGTTGTTAGTAAACCAGCTGTCCAGGTCTCATGCTGAAAGTGTCCTTCAGGCTGTGGAAAGGAAAATATGATGCGAGACAACACGGAAGCCTCTCCCTGCTCACCCTCAGTTTGTATGTTTGTGCCCTCATTGCTGATGTCTAGCCTTTTTATTTTTTAAATTGAAATATAATTGTTATACAGTGTCTCTTTATTTTCAAGAGTTCAACATAGTGATTTGACAATCACATAAACTATGAAATGTTCACAGTAAGTATAGTGGCAGTTCCCATCTGTCACCATACAAAGTGATTACAATATTATTGAGTATATTCCCTATGCTGTACCTTTTATCCCTGTGATTTATTTATGTTGTAACTTAAAGTTTATACCTCTTTATCCCCTATTTTGCCCAGGAAGTAGGGGGTGGAAGGAGGGAGGAAGAGAGCAAAGGTCTTAGCTTTGTGTAAAACCTCAGTGGGTTCAGTTTACAGTAAGTGCAATATTTCAATCCATAATAAGTCCTGTATTTTCATATTTTGTACAATATTCCTCCTTCCTCATCACTTAGAATTAATTCCACATGCAGACAAGGACTTGGCCAAAGTCCTGGGCATCCAAGGGACATCCGTCCATGTCCCATGGATCCATTGGGATGATAATAGTTAAAATCAAAGAAACAGTAATGCTCCCTTGGGGCTCTGGACAGAGATCTGTGACATAAAGATCCCAGGTCTTTCACTTCTTTGGCCCCTCCAGAGGACTTTAATATTTATTGGAAATCAACTGTCTCCCAGCCAGTAAAAGAAATTCTCATGACCCTGACACACTTCTAAGGAAAGAATCTTTGCAACACAATGACTATTAAGTATTAGCAATGAAAGTCAGCAGACATTCTGCAAGAAAAAAAGTAGACTTCGTGATTTAACTTTATCTTAAATGTTTAAAAATACAGTTAAGCTTAGAAAGAGAGTCAATCAAGGAAGTCTTTACTACTGACTTTGTGTCACTCTACCTGCTTACATTTAATTTGTAAAATGCATCAACTTGCCTCTTTCTATTTCATCTCTGAAGTGCCTGTCAAACGTAGGTCCCCTACCTACATGCATGCTAGGAATTTTGTTACTGTTTTCATTTCTCTTAAAGTTACTGAGCAGTCCATACTGGACCCACATGTGTGCAAACACACACACACACACACACACACACACAGACACACACACTTTCTATTTGACTGAATTAACTATGTGTTGATTACATTCAAATAAACAATTAATCCAACACTCATAAGTAAACACAGGCTGTAGACTCCAAGTCTTTGGATCACTGACAAAACAACAGACTTTCTTTGTTAAAGCTTTGATTCATCTTTTCAAGTACAGAAAGAGAATTTAGTTCTTAGATAAAATACTGGTTAATTGTATTTTTATGTTATCTTGCTTTTAATTGCTCAAATAATTAATTTTGTTGTATAAACTGATTAAGCACACAGATTTCTGTCACAATGGCAGGGTCTTCTGATTAATCTTCTCTGTTTGGAGAATCTGTAATACAGTTTGGCGATCACAATGACACAATAGGCACATTATTTTTCATTGTATTTAGCAGAATCATTATTGTTAGTTAACCAAACCTGATCTAGAAAGATGGCTTTCAGCACTGTAAGCCTATTTTAAGCTTTTGAGAATTTGTATAAGAAATATAGAATTTTCAAAAATGACTGTCAGTTATTGTTTTTGCTTCATTAGAGAAACGGACAGATAAGTCAGCTGTATCGGGGGCCATTCGATTGAAAATCAATGTGGAAATAAAAGGGGAGGAGAAGGTTGCTCCCTATCATATACAATATACATGTTTACATGAGGTAAGCAAATTGAATTGCATTTAAAATAACCTAATAAAGAAATTGGCCTTATGGATCATACAGAGAAATATTGGGCTAAAAAGTATAATTGCATTAGGTTTTTTGAGTTGTTCCCAGAGCTCTTATTCTGCACTCTAGCAGGCACTGTGCCGGGGCATCATAGAGCCTATGCCTTGCTCCCTGAGGGGAGGGTGGATGCCCTCTAATGAGTTTAGAACAAGCTCATAGCAGGGATTAACAAGCAAGAAAATGATAATGAACAAGTAGAACAGATTAAATTACCATTCTTCCAAGGAGGAAGACGAATGTTAAAACACATTCACTGAAGAAATGAATAATGACAAATATTTGGAAGCGTTTAACATCTAGTACCTTAGTCATGCAGGAGAGGATCCAAACATGATTGTTTTTGAGAAATCTGAGTTAGTGCTCGGATTTTATTGAAGATTTAATTAGTATTGCTTGTCACTTAGAAGTGTAAAATTGTTGATGTTGTATCAATGGCTTTGGGAGTCAATATAACAAGCAGTGTTTTTTTTTGAAGATTTTCTTCTTATGAATCATTGGTACAGCAAAGGTCTTCATACATATTGAACCCCCATCCATTTTAACTACCCTTCCCACAGACATACCTGGGTATGGAGTATCAGAATGTATCTGGTAGTCACCCACACATCAATAAAAGAGGATATACCCACTAAAAGCCTGGTTGGCATAGAGAGAGGTAGTGACCATCCCAGTTGAATCCAGAGGACCGATTCATGAGCTCCCTTTTATGCCTCAGTGTAGATAAGCAAATAATCTTTGGGCTTATATTGAATGCTTTACATCTGAGAGCTTCGAGCTGTCACCAGAGCCTTTCTCTGACATAAATAACACTTGCCTCATGTATCGAAAAATATGAGGTGAAGCTGAGGAGTGTACTTTCCGCATGCTCAACGAGGTAAAGAGAAAGTACCTTCCTAAGATGGAAAAAGATAGAGAATTGCCCTTTGCATATTATTTGCCCTACATATATTTATGAAAATTAATATATGTAATTACTTGCACCTCTATTTTACTAAAGAAGGAATGGGCAACAGTGTCTAAATCATTAACACATTACACAGTAATTAGGATAAGATCTAGCTTAATTTCCTGACTACCATCAGCCAATGATATTCCTTTGAGAAAGGTTATTCAGTTTTCAGACCAATAAAAGAAATCCCTTGAACTGGCAGAATGGGGAGCCAACTCTGGCCTTCAAGGTCAGCAGAGAAGATTTGAGATAGAGGAACAGCATTATGCTTTGCCTTTTCAAGAGCCTTTTCTGCTGGTCCAAGAAACCAAAAAGACTGAAATCCGAGGAGTCTTTCAGTGACCTGGGTTACATCTATGCAGTAGTTCTTTAACTTGTTACAGGCAAAAAGGAATAGTATGTACTGATTTTTTTCATTAGAAAATTCTCAAACATTCATTTTCAACCTCAATTCACTGCCCTGACTCCTACCACTTTGCAGACAAATGATAATGTATATATCATTTATATACCTAAATGTATTATCATGGTTAAAATCATATTGTTTATGCAAGGCTCTATAATTTACTCAGAACCCATGAATGCAAAATATGTCCTAGCATGTATAAGTGTTTATGTGTAAAAATTTCTACTTCCTTCTAAAATGATTTGGGATGTATAAAACTTTTGAATCATTGATTCTGTATAGACCAAGGCAGAAATAAAATCAGAATTTGCATAAAGATGTGGTGAGTTAGAATAAAAATCCAAGAGATTCCTATTACTTACAGATTACAATGCAAATATAAGTTACTGAAAGTTACAGTTAAATATTTTTGGCCTATTCTGAGGAATTACTGAACAACTGAAAATCACTTACTTTCAGAATCTATTCCATTACTTGACTGAAGTGAAATTTAATGGTGGAGTGAAAATCCCAGAGGTCAAAGGAGATGAAGCCTGGAAGGTTTTCTTTGATGATGCTTCCCAAGAAATAGTTGATGAATTTGCCATGCGTTATGGGATTGAATCCATTTACCAAGCTATGACGTAAGTGCTAAGACCATTTGCATGTTCAAAAATCTCTGTTGAAATATAAAGAAAAAAAAAAGAAAACCATTAATCTCCCCTGTAATATAAATGAAATTTTGATTAAAGAGAATTACATTCTAATGTGCCAGTTTGATGCTGGCTACTCTTTCTCTTACAGCTATCAAGTATTAAGATTTGGTAATTTGCTACCACCACCTTTGCAATCCTAATTTTGTTCTCAAAGTGGGTCCCTTCCTAACAGCATTAGTTGCATCTAGGAATTTAGAAATGCAAATTCTCCATGCTACTCCAGACCTACTGAATCAAAAACTCAGAATGGGCCCTGTAATCTGTGCTTTAATAAGCCCCCCAAGTGATTCTCATATCCTGTAAAGTCTGAGAATCAATGCCTTATTTGATAACTGAGAAAACTAAATTATGATTGGATCTCTGATGACTGAAGGGCATTATCCAAGGTTACAAAGTGTATTAGTGTCAGCACACCTAGAGCAATTACAGTGTCTTGACCCTAACATTAAACTATGCCTTCCTTCCTCTATTTATATCAATGCTGCTAATTCAGTAAAACCAAGATTTATTGAGTACCCAAACACTACAGTAAATGTGGTACTATAGAAGTGACCCACAGAGTCATAGTCCTTACTGGGAAATTTCAGTAAAGATTTAGAATTGAGCTTTTACTTACCCACACTGTACCTTTTGAAACCTCGCTTAAGTTTGTAAGTGCATTTTGTTCAGATAGATACCATATTATAATATGCAAACTATTTATGAAAATATATTACATGAATGTTTTTTCATATTAATGATCATATCTTATTTTCATGTGAACCAAATAGATGCTGGCCCAGATAGTCATTTTCAACATATTAATAATGGATATGGGTTGGACCAGAATCAATGCTCTTCTTCAAGTTTACTACTCATAGCATTTAATCACCAGTCATAATTCTAGAACATCGTATGTAAGAATGAATTCTTTAAAATGTCTAATAGAGAAAGTATGTGTGCTTTTTTCAGTGTGTAGGATGTCCTAATGCTAAATAATAAAGACTTGTGGATTTTTAAACATGAAAAGGAACTTAGAGGTCACCCAATTTAACCTCCCTCCAAATTAGGAAACTCTGCTACTGCATCCCTGACTGGCGGTCGGCATCATCTGCCTGTCCATGTCCAGTAATAGGAAGCTCACTCCTTTTGAGGCAACCTGTTTTGTAGCTGGACACCCACAAGGGAGTCTGTGACTTTGCCATCTGCTCTGTCCCATGTCAATGGCTAAAATAATGTAGCAGAACACCTAATATAAAATTTGAGTACAATTAAATATTAAACCATGATTAACGGTCTAAAGTCAATGAACTGTTCTGTCAAAAGAGAGCTAAGCTGAGAAAAACAAAAACAAAAAATTACGGATTCTGAAAAGAATCTCAGTAAAAAAAAGATGAACTTAAATGGATTGCAAAATATCTCTGTGAGCTGATGTCATTTTTTTGTTTCCATGTTTCTTAAATTCTCAGTAGAAAAATAGTAACTGTACAATAGTTTAAAAGAAGAGAGTCACCCCTCCATTTTATTCCCTTACATTTTAGCTTAAATAAACAGTAACAAGAAAAAAAATTGTTTTTGGATACTTATTTAGCATCAAGTGACCTGCAGGTGAATTGAGTCCTATCACAGTTATAAAACTCAGTTTTGACAGAGCCCTTGCTCATACTAGAAGATAATGTAAAGCAGGGATTGGCACATATTTGTGTGTGTACAGGGCCAGATAGGAAATATTTGCAGCTTTGTGGGTCCTATACTCTTTGTCACAACCACTTCACTTCTCAACTTTGCACTCCTAGTGTAAAACCAGCTGTAGATACTAGGTAAACAAATGGGCATATCCATGTTCTGATAAAACTTCATTTTAAAGACAAAAGATACGTGGACTGGGTTTGGCTGAGGTCCTTGGGCTGCCACATGCTGGTCTGAAGAGGGAAAGGAAGGCAGACACTCACAAGAAAAAAGAATGCCTTCTCTGTTTGTGGCAAACCAACAAACACACTTTGGTGGTAACAAAATGTGGTAAATTGTATCTACTTCTCATTATAAAACTAATTCAATATTGATATTTTTATTTATTAAATGCTTTTTTTAGCATTAAGTACAGGCACACATCAGAGACACTGCAGGTTTGGTTCCAGACCACTTTAGGAAAGCAAATAAAGAATAAAACAAGCCAAATGAATTTGTTTGGTTTCCCACTGTATATAAAAGTTATGTTGACACAATACTGTAGTCTGTTAAGTCTGCAGTAGCATTATGTCTAAAAAGGTAATGTACATACTTTAATTTAAAAATGTTTTATTGCTAAAAAACGCTAACTATCACCTGAGCCTTCAGGGAGTTGTCATCACTGATCACAGGTTACCACAACAAATATAATAATAATGAAAATGTTTGAAATATTGTGAAAATTTCCAAAATGTGACAGAGACACGAGGTAAGCTAATGCTGTTAGAAAAATGTTACCTATAGACTTGCTTGACAAAGGGTTGCCACAAACCTTCTCGTTTGTAAACATAATATCTGCAAAGCACAATAAAGCGAAGTGCAGTGAAGTGAGGGAGACTTGTACTGACCTAGATGGCCTTACTGTTTTCCTCAGCTTGACAAAGCATTAGACAGGCTACTTTCTGCCTCTGGCCCCTGACTTTCCTCTGATGGTGGCCCTTTCAGAGTCCAGAAGACCTAAACCCAGAGGCCCCTGACCTCCCTTTCCTTAGACCATTTACTTTAGAAAACTTATAAAAGCAAATTATTTATCTGCCCCTTTGAAAATGTAAATTTTCTAAAAACATCTTGCCAATTCTATAACCCAGAACTAGCTTTGTCAGGGACCTGGTAGGATCCCTTTCAGGTATAATCATCCAGGAAGATAGACCCCTGTCTCCCCCAGTCTTTGTGTGAGGGTAGGTGCCTTGCTCCAAATTGCAATACTACCTCCTGTCATGAGGATGGGAGAAAGTATATTTTTCCTTCAGGTAAGGCCAGTTAGCAAACACTGACAGCTAGGATTCCCTCCACCTCAGCTCTTAGAAACTCTCTCTTCTCTCCTCTGTCTCGGTTCTTAAAAACATTCCCATTATTTATTTTAGTGAACTTGAATTCAGACTGAATTCCCTTTTGCATAGCCTTGAATAACATTTTCCTTGCCTATTTAACTTTGTCTACTGAAATTTTGGCTTTGACAGTATAAAATCTACCATGTCACTGAAATAAAAATAAATACCTATTATTCAACAGTCTGTTAACTCATACAAAATTTACTACCAACAAAGATATGATCTCTTCATTTACTCTTCATTGGTGATTTTTAATTGTTGAAAGTTATTTTTTGTAGAAAAATATCAGTATGTTAATATTATGATTATATGTGTAATTATCTCTAAAAATTTGAGATAATAGAAGGGAGTCACTTAAAGGGCACTCAAACTATTTTCAAAGATTTATAAATTGAAATCTTCAAGAGAGGAGTCATCTTTCATTATTGCTTTATAAGGAGTTCTAGTTGCATGATAGAAACTCAATACATATTTGTAACTGAAAAAATCAGAAGCAGAAGTTATCGAATTATATTTATTATCAAATTCTCCTGGCACATCTCTTCATGTCAGAAATTTTTAGTTGCAAAAAGCAAGCAAAAGCAGCCTCATCTTTGAAGTTTAACCAGTTGCCTATTGAATCAGTATTTTTCTGTTACTTTGAAATCTTCCTCCAGGGAGCCCAAAAACATAACCAGGAAACCAACCAACCAACCAACAACAATAAAACATAGAACTAGACATGTCAAGCTTACCCCAGAAGTATTTTCTTTTAATTTTTAAAAATACAAAATTGGGGAACTCATCCTCAAGGAAGCAGACGTCCTGCTGTGGGTGAGGACCCCTACAGCTTTGGGAAAGGACAAAGCTGCTTGATTCTTATGGACTTTCCTAGACACCGCTTGTTCAGAAAAAGAAATCAAATGGGAGTTTCTTATGATAAAGTCCCCTACGCTTAGCCAAATCCCCAGGTAACTTCATAATCTTCCTTTTGTATTAGAGATTGCTAGGTTTCTTTTAAGCATGCTCCCATTTCTTGAAGATGGATTTGGAGCAGAAATAAAGGGGAAGTATGTATTAAGTCAGAGAGTCTGGTTGTACATTATTAAATTTTCCTCTTGTGTATTTCTCATCATAAGGAGGTGAATCTATTTTTCTGGTAGATAACCTGAACATTAATACTGAAATCCCTAGTCCTCCAGGGTACCTCCTGCCTACTGTATGCTCTCTCCTTTGATCACAGAACATTTGCTATGAATGCACAATTTATTACCCCTATTTGTTGCACAAAAATATATCCTCTGTTTTGGAACATTCATGAGAGGAAAAGAAGGGATTACAATTTTCCTGTTTGGACAAGAGAGTGATAAACTACTTGGAGTATTTGTTCCTACATGGTAAATGCAACCATCCATCTAAAATAAAAGCAATTTCCCCATTTATGACAGTAAAAATGAAGAGTCTATTTGTTTTTTGAAAGAATCCACTATTCCACATATTTTGCATCAGGAGTTTGGGCATGAAGCCTGTTTCCATCATGGGAATTTGGGGAGTTCTTGATTCTTTTCATCTATTTATACAAATATGTATGTTCTTAAAAATATTGTGACCAATTCTTCACCCCTGAACACATGCAAGACATTTAATGTCATCATCAAATACTAAATTGTCCTCTGCAGGTGATTTCTGTCAAGCAAAATGATTTTAACTGGATTTGTAGTGAGTATTTCATTTATTATAAAATGGGACCCAAAGTATCTCACAAGATCTGAGATTCTGTTAGACTATGGTCATGCCTCTGTAATACCAAAGAAAAGAAAAGCATTAACATCATTTTTTTTACCTTGGTGTATTTAGCAAACAGTCTCTACTTTGGCATTGCCTTCTTATTCTAATTCATGTTTAAACCAG